AAGAGTGAAAAGTCTTGTAGAAAGTTTTATTATAATCATAGAATCATAGAATAGTTAGGGTTTGAAGGGACTTTAAGATCATCAAGCTCCACCCCCCTGCCACAGGCAGGGACACTCTCCACTAGACCAGGTTGCTCAAAGCCTCACCCAGCCTGGCCTTGAACACCTCCAGGGATGGGGCATCCACAGCTTCTCTGGGCAATCCATCTAACATAATGTCACAAATTCTGTACCATATAAAAGATTACCTAGAATTATTTTGATGAAAAAACACGTATACCCTTCATACAACTTTTTTTCACAGCTAGTGAACCAGAATACTAAATTTCCAATCATTATATAGCAATCTATTTTCTTAAAATGAAAATTGTTTCAAATAAAAGTTTTGGAAGATTAAATTTTTTCCTTGATACTGTCCACTACAGACATATTATTTCCTTCTTTTTCTGGAAGTTGCTCTCAAAATAAACACATACAAGACGGCAAAAACTTTAAGAAGCAAAAGAGAGAGACAAAACTAGCAATTAAAAATCACACCAAAAGTTCCCATGTGTAAAGAAATAAGATATATTGCCTATAAGCACCAGTGTTGAAAATAAAAGCAGAACCTTACAGGACCTGGGAATTAGGCAGCCTTCTGAGATCATTGCCAACTGCTATTACACTCCTTCTCCAAGAACTTCGCTATTTGAAATTGTTAGACATACTGGCCAATTTGGACTTGATATCAGAACACATTAAAAATAAATAGTAAGATTTAATGAAGTCAGCGGTCACATTTCTAATAGTTATTAGTCTAGAAAGCCTAGTGAATAGACATGGCCCACATCTGTCAACGCATTTAGGGGAAAAATCTCTTTAAAGAACTGAAGAAATATCTTACGATAATGGAACTGTATACAGTCATGGGGATATCATGTACCAGCAAGTTTGGAAAATGGCTAAATTCCACATGGTGATGACAAGACCATAGGTTTGAAAGCTACCCCACCTAGGGCCTCTTCTGCATAGCAAATAGTGTGATTGAGATTAAGAACTATCAGCAAGAAAGATGGATAGCTGTCACTTTATATATCATAGCACTCTAGAGCAACATGCAATTTTGCATCATCTAGCCCACAGGTAAAAAAAAAACCCCAAAACTGTATCACATAGATTTCTACCCAGATTAAGTGAACAGAGTGAAGTGCTGTTTGAATAGTAGCATTTTTGTTTGGGTTCTTTGGCCAGTAGTTTAGGGAACATTTCAAGCAAAGTTAATCTTACTGACTTTAAATCATGCAATAGTAATTCATCTGGTGCGCAGTAATGCTGATAAAAAAGGAGCAGCTGGAAAACCTACGAGCTCCTTTTGCCAGTACTAAATTAATAAGCTGTTACCTACAGTACAAATAGCTCAAGCATGCTTTGGTGAATTTCAGACTCACTAAAATTCCTTTCCTTTTTGCTATTGACTACGTTAGAGATGGTGCAGTGACAGTTCCTTCAATCCTTCCTGCCAGAAACAGAAAGCAGGTGAATGGTAAGGGAAGGCCGTGAGTCAAGTGATCTCACAGCTGTTTATGGGATACAGTAAACCTTGGGAAGAATAACTCTTCAGAGGTTTGGTGAAAAACTTGCAGAAGGAAAGAAAACAGCCACATATTCCAGACGGAAACTTACAGAAAGTTAGAGTTGAGAAGAGTAACAGGGAAGCTGGGGAAAACTGCAAGACAACATTTTAACTCTAGTTTCTGCAATCAAGGCTCTAATCTAAGAATGCAGTTCTGTAACAGTAATGTTCAATAGCAATGATAAAACAACATAACATTTTA